CTACCCCCGATGGCTTGGGTGCATGTGTTGGGAAAGTAGAATACACATAGTGCAGGTGCTGGGAGGGAGTGGTACCTCACCTAAGAGCAGTGATTCACTGCACAGCCTCCCCAGGGCTGCAGCAGAGTCCTCCTCCCTGGAGGGTTTGGGGAGAATCCCAGCCAGGCTCCTTCTCCCCAGAGAGGTTGGGCCAAGTGTCTTTTGAGGTCCCTTCCAGCCCCAGCTGCTGTGTGACTGGGATCTGTTCTCGGGTGTTTGCAGCAGACATTAACATCAGTCAGCAGCACTGCAGGTTCTGCAGACCAGAGCATTGCACTTAGACCAGGACATTTTAGCTCGTGTAATTGTTTGAGAGAAGGTAGGATGAAAAAGCCAGAGCTGATATCTATTGCATCAAAACTCTTTGTTATTTACTCTGATATTTACCATTTTACTCTAAACCAGTTATTTTTATTTCTAATTTTTGTGCATTATAGTTTGTGTTCTGAATACTTTATTTCTGCCCATCCCTCAATGAATTTTTAACCATATTTTGTTCAACTATAACTTTATCCATTTTTCTTTCAAAATTCTCAGTAGAATTTATGGAGGATGTGCAGGGATTAGTTTTTATAAAGGTTCACGAAAAGTACATTCAGCATTTGTTTGATGTTAGATAGTGCTTATAATCCTGTATTTGGTGACTGATTTGTCAGATTGAGTAATTGCTGTGGCTGCAGTACAGAATGCCTTTTTGAAAGTCACACTTCTTAATTTGCATGGTAACAATGAAATGAAATTGCATAGTTACTACTCTGAATTAGAAATTTGATGTTTAATTGCCATGTATTAAGTAGATTTTTAAATGGGGACATCAGTTTATAAATAGGTTTTTATATTTGAATTCAGTGGAATAGGAATTCATTCCATGCCATCAAAGGCATTAGGTTTGAAGCAGTGTAATGTGATCTGCTTCATACTTTTCCCAGAAACAGGTCTGTTACTTGTACAGTTTGTAAAAGATTTCACATGGATTAGGAGTAATCCAGATTGTTAAATCACAAAGTGAATTTTTTTTCCTCAGGACTCTGTGTTGATTTGTGATGCTTTGAAAAGGCTGATGGCAGATTGTTTACAGAGAAGGAAGGTAGAATAAATTGGGTTTGTGTCCTTGTTTTAGGTGTAATAATAGTACACCTAAGAATCACCTAATAAGAATCACCATAATACAAACAAAATACCTGTGTTCATTTTACCTAGAGCTGATCAGTCATTGAAGAGGTCTTGTGGCCTGGTCTCTGTCACTGGACAGTTGATTTTCTCCCTTCACTTGTGTTTGGCAGAGCAGCCTCTGTCCCTCCCTGCCCCATGAGTGTTCCCTGTCAGCACTGCTCAGTCCTGCCAGCTTCAGGCTGCAGACCTGTGCCTGGAGTTGGGCAGCCAGGGACAGGCTTTCTCTGCAGGATTCTTTGCCCCTGGCACCTGGCAGCAGCTGCTGGCACCTTGCTTGGAACCTGTGCCATGGCACCGTGCGGCACTGCCCCTGCCCATAAGAGGCTGGAGCAAGTGCCAGGGGTTCAGTCTGGTAACAATACTCATTCATGTCCATCTCCAGGCAAGAGATGTCACATCCCAACTACCTTTCTGTGAAGTGCATCTTCCAGACATTGGTCAGTGCACACAGTCCATGTCCTACAGCTCTCTGAGAGGCCTGAGTGGAGGATCAGCATGTACTTTGCACTAAACCCCATGTTTGGCAAATGTCTCTGTGATATTATTCAGTCTCTTGACTAGCACTGAGCACAACATCTGTTTGAACTTGGAAAGCTGAAGTGCCCTGAAAATTGTCTGCCTTTGGCAGTGGACTGCAGTGTATATGCAGTGCTCTCAGGAGACAGAACCTGCTAGAGCTCATGGATCTTTAAGGCAGAGAGTGTTGTCAGTCGCATTTTCTCTGCTGAAAAAAATCTGCTGTGGTCTAGTCTAGAAAAACAGGTGTGCAGGGAATTACTGAGAGATGCCTGAGAGCACTAAGCAAGGTGAGCAGTGAAGTATGGGAGAGTTAGGTTTTCTGTTTACAATTCCAGAGGAAGAGATTAAAGGAAACTTAGAGGAAAATGCATTTCAAAAGGAGAACAGTTACATTCATTTTCTTGGTATTTGAGGTACATAATGGCTAGAATGAAGAAAGTTACTTATCTTTTGGGGATGTGAGCATAAAAAGTACATTTAAGAACATGTATTCATTCTGCAAGTTCTGTTGGGTGTTAATCAGAACTTCTGCTTTAGGTATTTCGAAGAGACGAAGAGTAGCAGATGAACGGGAGCTGCGTGTGCCGCTCGAGTATGGGTAGGTTATCTGTATACCTGACTTTGCTTGGAGGGAGATAATGCCTTCAAAGGCAGTTGGTAAAGAAATGACAGCCTAAAAATTCTTGAGGATGGGTAATAAGGAAAAGGGCTTCAGCAATTTAGATTTCCAACTCCCAGTGACTCTAGATCTCCTTAAAAAGTGTCAGTATATTTCCTGTGTTAGTTTTTGTGCAGTAGTAGATTTCCTCTTCTGCAGATTTGACCTGTCTCTTAGCAGTTTTGCCACTGGAAATTAATCCTGATGGCTATATCTGAGCCAACATAGACTCCAAATAGCTCCCTGAAGTAGAGCTGTAAGCCATTTGAAATCTGGTCAAATGTGAGTAGCTCAATATAAATACATCCATGTATGTAGTCAGTTTGGACAATCTGTGGAACATTTTTGAGGTTTGTCTGTTTATGAAACTCTAGTCATATTTTCCTCTTTCCTTTTTTTGTACAATTCTTAAATTGTCATGAATTGCTTGCTTTTTAAAAAGTGTATTGTTGTATGCAACTGTTTCATATGCTTTAGCTGGCAAAGGGAAACCCGAATCAGGAACTTTGGCGGTCGCCTGCAAGGAGAAGTAGCATATTTTGCACCTTGTGGAAAGAAGCTGAGGCAGTATCCTGAAGTAGTAAAGGTACATTCCTTTCTGTAACTTCTATGTTCTAATGCTACTTAGCATGCCTGCAATTAAAAATGTCCTTTTTCCTCTCCAGTAAAGATACTTACTCCCTGTGATGTGAGGCGTAACGCGTCTCGGTCCGGGACTGATTTGATCTTGTGTAAATGCCTGTCCCTTTGACAGAGCGTGCAAAGCACTGCACTCACAAAGTTAGCTGTGCATCAAAGCTGAGTTGTAATTATTTACAAGCTGAAGTGGAAAAATATGTGATTTTTTCAGTATCTCAGCAGAAATGGAATAATGGATATCTCAAGGGACAATTTCAGCTTCAGTGCAAAAATAGGAGTGGGTGACTTCTATGAAGCCAGAGATGGACCGCAGGTATCTGCTTTTTCCAAAGTAAAGTCTTTGATCCGAGGGGCTGTAACTTAAGTTTAGGTGAAGTAACTTGTGCTACAATCTGAAGCATTGCCTATTTTAGCTCATTGTTTCTAAGAATTGTGCCTGTTTCTCCGCAGCAGGCAGAGGGAGGTGCCTGACCCCGGGCAGTGCCCCTTGGTGCTTGGGCAAGCAGTGTGCAGGAGCTCAGCATGCTCTGGTGCTCAGCCCTGAGCCTGCACTGGGCTAGTGCAAAACTCTGAGCCACCTTAGCCTTTAGATATTTCTCACTTAAAACTTGATTCCTTCTTTGATTGCATACAGCCTCGTACCAATAGTAATTTATGTGTATGTGTTATGTCCCACTCTTTTCCTGTGTTCATGTGCATAATATGTGTATGTGTGTGTTTGTATGTATATGTAAAATGCATGTCTAAATACAAGTGTGTCCTGTATCAAGAGTAGTCTGAGTATCCTCAAGCATGAGACTTTACAGAATGGAATGCTGAGCTGTGCCAGTTATGCTTTGCAGTGGTAGAACTGTTAGACTCAGATAAACCACACAAGAATAGGTAAAACTATAATTTTAAGGAAATTGTTGCTGTGATTGTGCCATTCTGTGTTACTGTGTTTTGGCCACGTTGCCATTTCTTCAGGATGTGCACGGAAGTTTTGGGACTTTTGCCAGTGAATGTATTTGCTTCTTTAAAAGATAAGTATTCTGAGCATGTTACTACCTCTCAGCTGTCTGGAATTCAGGCTCCAGTTAATCCTTATGTCCTTGTGATACCCTGTAGAAATACACAATGTTTGCATGGTATAAATCTGAAAGCATTAAAACTGGGCTCACAGTAAGCAGCTGCTTCTAGGTGGTGCTTCCTGATTTCTGGCTTACAGGGTAAAACATTGCTAAACTTGCTTCATGTTTGGCCTTCAGAAAACAACAGTCGCAAGTTCCTGTAGTTGTGAACTTCATTATGTACCTAACTGGCTTGACAGAAATAATTCCTTGTACTGTGAACATAATGTAATGTATCTGCTCTCCTCTGTTACTTTCCTTGTGTCTGTTGCCCATACTGCTTCATTAGTCCTGTCCCCTTCTCTGGTTCCCTCTTTCCTCTGCCTTCTGCTCTGAGGTGATGCACAGAGTTTGCGCTGAGGTCTGTAGAGGCAGTGGGAGGGCAGTTCCTGCAGCAAGGCTGGGAGTGTGGGCAGTAAGTTGCTGCACATATCTCTCTAGTTTCCACTGGTGTAGTTTGTGGCAGGTTCCACTGAGACTTGGCTAGACAAAGGAAAACACTTCTCATTAGCAAAAGAGACTGAAGACAGCTATGTCAGATGTGCTGAAATGTGTTCACATTTTGTGTGAGGTAAATGGTGGAGCTAGACTCAGGCTGAGAATATACACCTAGTAAATCAGTGTGGGATATTGATACTTCATGGAAAGAACTTACACCCTTTTTACTGAAGTGTGTTGAATTGTGCACCTTAAAAATAATATGTGCTGCCCATATCTTCATGGATGTCTGGAGGTGATTCCAGGAATTGTATTTCTGCTTCTGCTGTAATTTTGGTTACTCAGTATAGCCTTGTGTGGTTGTTCTTCCCTTCCTTGGTTATGTATTTCTGTCATCTTCTGGGACATGCACTATGTGTCCAGAGGGATGGGGTAAGTTTCGCAGAGCTCTGTGATGGGACAAGATGCAAAGGAAATAAGGTTAAATCAGTTTTTCCTTGGTTATGTATTTCTGTCATCTTTTGGGACATGCACTATGTGTCCAGAGGGGTGGGGTAAGTTTCACAGAGCTCTGAGATAGAACAAGATGCAAAGGAAATAAGGCTAAATCAGTTATATTGAAGAATTACCTATAGCAAGCCAAACCCATGTGGATTACCTGCCTCTGGCAGTGTCTGTGTGTCTCATGGTACCAAGCAACCAGGTATTGTGGATTATTCAAAGCAGTGATTAAAGGCTTTAACAGAGAAGCATATCTGGCAGAAGTGGGTCATGTAGTAGTAGGGTTAGAAGAATGTCTGAAATCTGGCAAATGTGAAAATACAGTGACAGGACCAGGAAGCTTTAAGCTGCTTTGATTTAGAAAGATTAGTGTGCTATGATTTGGGGTGGTGGAGAGGACACAGGTCCTCCTGAGTTTAAGTAATACAGATAGGAGTTTCTGTCCTGTTCTGAGTTCTGCAGTTCTGTTTAGAAAGCTTTGTGGTTGCCTTTCCCCCACAAATCTAAGCTGAAGTATGAGGCTGTTTGCTTCTTGCAAAGTGCCTGTGGTTTGATTCATTAGTTTGGTTAACAGGATTTGAACTCGACTCTGCTTCCACATGGAGTGTTGCAGTACATGGATGATGTCTGAAGGGGAGAAATTGAGTTAAGTTCTCATTTTGATTAGTTTCAGCACTAAACCCCAACATTTCACAGTGCTGTCCCCATGTTTCTCTGATGTTTGAGTAGTGAAGCTTAGATTTTATGGAAGCCTGTGAGTCTCCTATGTTAGGGCACAATCCCCATATCTTTCCTTTGGAATGTTGAAACTCCATAGAGTGTCAGATTGCACATTCTTTAATAGAAGTGTGTTTTGGTTCAGGTTTTAAAAGATGTCTGAGCACAAAATACAGATGGTCAGTCAACTCTTGCTTAACCCTTATTGGCTCTGGTCTGGACTATTGGTGTCTTATCCTCAAACTTGGGGAAACTTGTGCATCCACAGTGTCCTTCTCATTCCTTGAAGCACCTGCTCCTTTTGCATATTGAACCTGCTCGTAGCCTCACTTGTTGGCCTCTAGTTTCTCTTTTTGGGAGGCATTGGGAAGATGTAACACACATACATGGTCTCTGGCACTGATGATCTCATAGACCTCTTACCTTTCTTTCCTGCATATTTATTGTCGTTGGTATCATTAACTGCAGAATATAAAAACATGGAGCAAGAGCAATCTCCGGTGCAGCTTCTGAGGGGATACTTGAACTGTGGCTGCTTCTCCTCCTTGTCTTTGATTTCTGTTTTGCTTCCCCTCCCTCAGCACTTGGGTTTTATGGGACAAGGTTTTCTAGGTTGGATGATGAGTACACCATTAAATCCATCCTGACAAACAGCCTGTGATGAATTGTAGTTCAATATTAGGGAAATGAAAGGTACACCTAAATAGTGCTCTTAAAGATAGTAAGAGTTAACTTCTGGTTAAGTGGTAGAGATAACCATTCGGGATGGAAAAGTCCTCAGGGGTGATGCATGATGATGTGGTACACAGTAATGATACTGTCCTGGTTCTGAGCAGTGCATTTTGGGAACACAGCTAATAACAGAGCCCTTTGGAATGTCTGTGACCAAGTGTGAAGTGCTCTTGGGAAGGAGTGATTCACACTTCAACAAAGGTATCTATGGCAGGTACTGGTAACTTCCTTGGAGTCTGAATGTTTCTTTAGCAATCTGCCATTTCTTTCACTGAATTTGTGTTAAATCTTTGCAATTGTGAAGAATGAGCAAATTGCCAGAGTAAGCACAAATAATTTATGTTGTTGTACAACAAATTTGATTTCAGTGTTTATGTACATATGCATGTGAAAATATAGGCATTCCAAATGTATTTTTTCTGAACTGGTATTTAATGAGCTTTAGAAGTTACCAGCTTTCCTTCTTGCTTTAGCAGACATTTTGACATCCCTTATAAACCTTTTTCAGGCGAGTGATGGAGAAGTCCTAAAGGATACTTAGTTTGCATGTTTTTCCCTGCATTTCTCAAAAGCTTGGGAAAATGGTAAAAGATGCTGCAGTTTGAAATGCTGGTGTTCAGTCCAGCAGGACTGTGCTCCTGTCCTGCTCAGCAGGCACAACCACCAACTCTACCTTTTAGTAAACAGTTAAGGTAAAGCTGTTTCTATGCCAGGATTAACCTGGGTGTTTTTGTTAATGAAGTATTTAAGTACCTGTTTTTGTGATTCCACAAAATAGTCTAGTAGTAACAGTGAGGTAGTGTTGAATGTATTGCTGCTCACTTTGTTTAGTTAGAGAGTATAGTTAACATAACCTTTAGTTCAGGTACATGGAGGCCTAAAAGTTACAAACATTGGGTTCTTCCCGTTGGCACAGAAGTTAGCTGTTCTGTGACCAAAACATTTTTGACTCAGCTGAGATCTGCAACACTGCAGAAAGCAATATTTGAACATACATTGCTGCATTCACTTGTTTTGTATGTCAGAGATTCTGTAAACACTCTCAGCTGGAAGACAGTGACTCATAGCTTGACACATTTTTTCATTCTTGTTGAGCAGAGAATTATGTGAGGGCAGAGTAGATATTTCTGAGTTTATGTGATAAGGCCCTGTTCTGCATGTTAGAAAGGGTTGAGCAGTTTGATTTCGTCAGAAACCATTAAAAATAACACAGAATGGGCATCCCTGCTGGCTCAGGAGGGTGTGTGTCACCCAGGAGTCTTCCAAAGCTTTGCTAGTGCTACAGTGCACAAACGTTCTTAGTAATAACCTCTCCATGTCTAACTCCTGTGCAGCACCAGAACTGTCCTATCTGAAGAGTACATCACAGCTCTGGTGTAGTTTGTAACTCCCCTGGGGAGACAGACCCTTGCTGTTGATGTTCTCAGGTGTGTTAGGCTTGTTTCCCCTTCCGTTTGCCCGTGCCGGTAACGCGGTGTGTGCCCTGTCGGTTGAAGGGTGTGCAGTGGTGCCTGCTGAAGGAGGAGGAGGTGGTCCCGCGGATCAGAGCCATGGAGGGGCGCAGAGGGCGACCCCCGAACGCCGAGCGGCAGCTGTCGCGGGAGGAGTGCAGGATGCGGCGCCGCAAGGGGCGACCGCCCAACGTGGGCAGCGCCGACTTCCTGGACAGCGCCGACGCCAAGCTCCTCAGGAAGCTCCAGGCCCAGGGTGAGGAACCTGTCGCTCTTCTCACAAACACGCGCCAAGGTTTTTCCTAAGGGAGGGTGATGTGTTTCTCTAGGGTATTAGTGTACACGTTTTATCTGGGGAATTCGTTACGTGCTCTTAGTGAAGACTGTTTCGTGATCAGTAAATGCATGTAGGGTTTCAAGGAAGCAGTGCACGTGTGAATGCATGTCTGAAGGCTGACTCCTCTGTAGTTCCTGCATGTCAGTGTGTGTCGTGGTTTAACCCCAGTCAGCACCAAGGACCACGCAGCAGGTCACACACTGCCCCACCAACGGGATGGGGGAGAGAATCAGAAGGGTAAAAGCTACAAAAACTCATGGGTTGAGATAAAGACAGTTTCATAGAGAAAGCAAAAGCTGCACACACAAGCATAGCAAAACAAGGAATTAATTCACTGCTTCCCACAGACAGGAGGTGTTTAGCCATCTCCAGGAGAGCAGGGCCCATCACGCGTAACGGTTCCTTGGGAAGACAAACACCATCACTCCAGATGTCCTCCCTTCCTCCTTCTTTCTCCCACCTTATACACTGAGCATGATGTCCTATGGTGTGGAATATCCCTTTGGTCAGTTTGGGTCACCTGTCCCAGCTGTGTCTCCTCCCAGTCTCCCATGCATCCCCAACTCCCTTGCCAGTGTGGCAGTATGGAAAGCAGCAAAGGCCTTGACTCTGTGTGAGCTCTGCTCAGCAATAACAAAAACATCTCTGCATTATCAACTCTGTGTTCTGCACAAAACCCAAACACAGCCCCATACTAGCCTCTGTGAAGAAAGTTAACTCTACTTCAGCTCAGACCAGCACAGTGTGTAAACCGTAAAATGGCATCCAGTGAGCTGGTCATCACCACAGTGCTGTTTCAGTTGGCAAAAAAAGGAGCAGATCTTTGTTTTCCCCTGTGTCAGCTCAAACAGCAGTGGGCCTAGAAATGGAAACTGAAAACCACAGAAGTTAGCATTTCTGTGAAGCTCTTGGCTGTCCAGGAGAAATGCTTTTCTTGTGAAATCCCTGATAGTGACAAGATTTAAATGCCTGTAAGGTTGGATAGGATCCTATAATAAGTATGCCCAGTGTTGTCAGTAGAACTTGCATGGTATCAAGTACTGCTGTGTATTAGAAGCATGAGGACCTGGTTTTAATAACTCTTGGGTACATTCCTTTTGAGTATCCATTCCTTAGTCCACAGCAGTGTCATATTTTCAGGATGCATCTGATCCAGTATGAAATAGTTTTATGGGCTGGGAGTCAGAGTGTTTGACTGCAATGTTCCCTCATGTGCCAGGGATGGATGTCTTTGGGTAGCTCCCTTGAGATATCCTTGAGCTTATCACTAAGATAAGCTCTTACTGCGCCAGTTTGCTTCCTTTTGTGTCCTTCCTTTCCCTGTATTGGGCACGTCAGGTGGTGGGGGAGGAAGTGTTTAGGAACTCTTACATGTCTGCTTTCCCACCACACGCTGTAGCATTGAATAAATTGAACAAAAAGATGTGGTCTATATATTCAAGAAGATGTAGTGTGTATATGCTGTTTGATCTTACATATGTTCATATCTGCCTTGCTGCTTTTCTCCCCTCGAGGGTACATAAGAAATGTCTCAGTGGCTCAACCCAGAGGTTCATTTGGTGCAGAGCTCAGTGTGGCTATAGGAGATGCTGCTTGGAGAGACCATGTGAGCCTTATCCCTTCTTGGTCAGTTTATTTCCTCATATAAGCACCGTAGCATCCTGAGATGTTTTATGAGTGATGTTGTGGAGCTCATTTTTTTCTTGCTCCATCTATTTTCTGTTTATGGAACTGTTGCCTGTGAATTAGCCTGTTCTTTGTTAACCTCCTGACGACGTTTGCTCTACCAGCCTCCAGTGGCAGCAAGATCCAGGAGTCTGTGAGCTGCTGGACTGTTGTCATTTCTAGCAAATGATCTGTTGCTGTCAGTGGGTGTTCCATAGTTCCCTTATTCCAGGGCCTGGAGAACAGCAGTTCTCCAGTTTGTTAGCCACCACCTTGATGACTTTACAGACCTTGAGCATCCCTGTCATGAGTCTTCTCTCCAAACTGGAGCCCCTCTTCACAGGAGCTGGAGCGATAGGACAGGGGGGAATGGCCTCAAGCTGAAGGAGGGTAGATTTATATTAGACATTAGGAAGAAATTCTTTACTCTGAGGGTGGTGAGGCATTGGTAAAGGTTGGCAGAGCTTAATATTTTCCTTTTGTAACAGAAATAGCAAGGCAAGCAGCACAAATAAAGCTGCTGAGGAAACTTCAGAAGCAGGAACAAGCACGAGCTGCCAAAGAAGCCAAAAAGCAGCAAGGTAAGTATCACTTGTGAAAGTCTGTGCATGCCAGAGGGCTGTTTTGAAAAGCATTAATGACCTGTCTCTTGTCACGTCCTGCTGATATTTGTTTGCTCTTGTTTGTTAGCTATTATGGCAGCTGAGGAAAAGCGAAAGCAAAAGGAGCAGATAAAGATAATGAAGCAGCAGGTAAACTTCATGTGATTGCTAAAACACCTCTGTAGGCTTCAAATTACTGAATTAGGGTATTTCAAATATTCAGTGAAGTGCTAAGTATGCTGATCACAACATGTATGTTTTAAGTCTAGTTTTAAAGAGCACACAGCTTGTATTACTTATGAGTTCTAAACTCCTCAAAGGCCACCACTGTGTCCCCAAGTGCCACATCTGTATGGCTTTTAAACCCCTCCAGGGCTGGTGACTCCAGCACTGCCCTGGGCAGTGCATAACGAAGTGTAGGTTCCTTCAGGGCTCTGTCAGACATCTCTGAACGAGCAACGCAGTGCAGTCAGTGTGAGACTCAATGCCAAGTATATATGTATGAACTTGGTTGTTTTTCAAGTGTAAAAAGAAGTTTACTTTCTCGAGACTGTTTTTTTTCTTAAAGAAAGAAATCACTTTCTTGTCCTTGTAGGAAAAAATTAAGCGAATCCAGCAAATCAGAATGGAGAAGGAGCTTCGAGCTCAGCAAATCTTGGAGGTAAAAATAATGGCTCAAATACAGTTTTTGTGTTGTCATTTGAAAGAATGTTGTGTTTTACTAGTCACTCGTGTAGCTAGCAATGTAACTGAAGGTAGCAGCTCTAAAGACCTAGATTTCCAAAGGCCAGTTCAAACATGTGTCTTAAAATGTTTCTGTTGAAAAATCTGCATTAACTGCGACCCCAGTGTGGCAAATGTTCATTTGGGCTCACGACTTTCCACACCAATAGTCTTGTGTGTGCCAGAGTTAAGGGCAGAGCTGTTCCTTTGCAGTGGGATGTGAGAGCAGTGTAATGCTCTGCTCCATGTGAAGTGCAGTGGATTTAAAATAATGTGTCCATCCATGTGCTGAATATCCTGTGTACTGTAGAGGTTTGCTGGGGTACTAGCAAAGAGACTGCTAGTTGCAAGTCTCCATTGGCAGACAAATGAAAAGTAATCTCTTTGCCATTGTTGTTGTTTCTGTGTGTGCTTTCTGACAACAGCCAGGTGAACCAGCTTTGAGTGGGACTTGAAATTCAGGCTTCATTTTTAACGAGTGACTGAACTGTGAATGGATTATCATGAAAGCTGCATGGGGGGGAGAGAGACCTGTTGCAGTGTGCACAATAAGTGATGATGTTTTTAACTTTTAAAGGCACATGACTTTATTTCTAGTCAGATTATTTCCGAGTTGTGATGGTGCTGTTGTGTGACCTGTTTTGCATGCACAGGCAAAAAAGAAAAAGAAGGAAGAAGCAGCAAATGCCAAATTATTGGAGGCCGAAAAACGAATAAAGGTTAGTTTAGAGGAGCTCCAGAACCAAGAACTGTGTTATTGTACATAATGTATGTTGTAAAAGCAGTAAATTGGGAGAATATTCCTTGATAATGAAGCTGTACATAAGGACAGCATATAGCAACATGTACTTGTGGTTGCAGAAATGCATGAAGCACACACAGAGGAGTCTGTGTATGTGTGGCACATCCACACACACTGTGAATGTACAGAGACAGAACTTCTGTGTGTGCCACTGCCATCAGTTTTGTTTACCTGACTCCTGGTTTGTGTAACAAACTGTTTGTGCAGTAACATTATTCACAGTGTCCTTTCAAGCACACTATCTAAAGACCTGTTGCATCTCAGCAAGCATAGTTTTTTCTGGGCTGTGTGCATGCAGGACTACAGAACTCCTTTACAAACACTGAGAAGCACAGTGTCTATATATGTACTTCTAGTGCTCCTTTGGCTTTCTTGGTGTGTTTTATCATGAAACTCCCAACTCACCAGACTTGCTTGTCTGTGCTCAGGTCATGGGGGCAGGGGAGTCAGAATTTAACTGGGATGTGCTGTTTTAGTGTGGCAGAACTGTGCCATTTGCTAAGTAAATTTTGACAGATACTTTACTCTCACTTTGTTCCTTTGTTCAAGGAGAAGGAGATGCGGAGGCAGCAGGCTGTTCTGCTGAAGCACCAGGTTGGTACACACTCAGCTGACCAAACAGACAGAATGCCAATTGTGAGCTACTACTTCAAGCTGTGTGGGGTGGGGTGGAATCCTCAAAATATGCCCTTTTTAAACTTCTGGGTTTGATTCCTGCACAAATTTTCTTTCACCTTGTGATTTGTTGCTTTGCTCTGGTATTGGGGTCTTTTGGGGGATGATAAAGTGGTTTGATGACTGTGTGATTTCTGTTTCATAATGTTGTGCCAACTCTTTCTACCAGGAGTTGGAGAGGCATAGACTAGATATGGTATGGGTATGTTTATTTTTGTACATCTAACACCGCATTGTGATATGGTTGTGATATGGTTGTCATAGCAATGCATAAAGTGTAGCACTGGCTGCTGTCATTACATACTGCTGCATGGCTTTACAGCACAGTGCATTGCATACATCTGCTTGTCTTGTCTGGTCAGGAAAACAGACATGTCTTGAACATGTGTATAAATTGAACATGGCAATAACTAAATGAGGTTTTCACCAGAGATCTCTCTTACTGATGTCTCAGTAGAAATATTTACTATATAAATTTGGGGATGAATGCAAAATTAATAGGTAGTCACTTGGATAATTTTTGCAAGCCTTGTCCCATTCACTGGGAAAGAACCCAGACATTCTAAACACAACTTAAACGTGTTTTAGAAATCAGGATGATGTCTTCCCTGAGTTTGTAAGGTCCCTAGGAGATGAGCTTTCAGTCAGTGGTAAATATGTAATACTCTAAGTACACAGTGAAGCATTAGGATGTAATCCTTGCCTCCCCAAATCAGATGCTAAAATTCCCATAGCCTTTCCTGGGGCCAGGATGTACCCTACAGCTTTTGAGGCAAACCCTGTACGTAATGCTCTAGAATACTGCACCCAGTGCATTTGGAGCTCCTGAGAGATTCACTGAGCACAGGCAGCAATAAGTGCAGGTGTTGTTGCGTATGGGCATGCACCACCTCTGGCTTAATTAAAGCTGATCTAGAGCTGAAAAATTAATTTGTTGCTTGGTTACAAAAATGTCAATATTTGCAATGTTTGAAAAAGACCAGTTTAAAATTTGTGCTGAATTGGCTATGGGAGAAGTTGCAAGTTCCATCATAGCAGATGTAAGGTAACTGACCTGTTCCAGCCAACCATTATGCTTTTTGTTCTGCCAGCTTATGAAGGAGCATCACAACTGACCATAAGTAAATCTGTATGCTTCTTTTTTACACTGTCTCCATGTTCATTGCTTTACCTTTTTGCTTTTGATTGTTCTTGTATTTGCTTTCTAAACCTGAACTAAAACATGCACAGACTTGGCCATTCTTGTCCTATATTTAGTATTTACTGTGACTTGTCTATTAATGCTCAATTTGTTACTCAGCTTTTTTACTGATTTGCCAATGTGGCTCAGTTTTGTTCTAACACTGCCTGCTTCAATAGGAGCGAGAGCGGAGAAGGCAACACATGATGCTTATGAAAGCCATGGAGGCACGTAAAAAAGCAGAGGTGAGTATGATCCTATCAAAAGTCTGAAGTTCTCATGGTTTCATTCTGCATAATTTAATCTGTATACGTGGCAGTGGTAGGCCAAGAAGGAAGAGGTGCAAATGGAAACTCAGGAAATTCTGTTTAAACTTAAGAAAAACTGTTGTGCTTTGAGGGTAGGGTGGTGGTTGGACAGTGGCACAGATTGCCCAGTTCTGGGAGTTCTGGATGGTTTTGAGAGGAAACTTAAGTAAAATACAAGAAACCCAAGTGGTAATTATTCATGTTACATGAGTTGTGCTTTTCAAATTCTTAGATTGCTCCATTGCAAGTTTAATATTTTGGGTTTATTTTCTGCCCTTTCAATTCTGTTTAAGGAAAAGGAGAGGTTAAAGCAAGAGAAACGTGACGAGAAGAGGCTAAACAAAGAACGTAAACTGGAACAGAGAAGGTTGGAGTTAGAAATGGCAAAGGAGCTGAAGAAGCCTAATGAAGATATGTGCTTAGCAGACCAGAAGGTAATCACAGCCACATACACTTGTTTTCTTGCCTCTTGTCTTGTGTATTTTGTCTCTGTGACAGTAACTTTTGTCTTGCAGCCACACCCAAAGCTTTGGTCCAGATAACTAGAGAACTCTTCGAAATATATGCATATACAAGACACTAGAAACACTGCAGTAGCATCTGCTTAGTTAATGGGAAGCTTTCTGTTGGAGAACAGCCTGCTTCCCAAGAAGCACTTGCATTATTGCTTCAGACAAATCCTTTGCTCTGAGTTAATTTCGCAACAAGAACAGGCATCATGTCTCGGTACACAGACACTAGATAGTCATCTGGACAGCTCTTAGAAGCTGTTACTCAAAAAAAATTACTCTCCCAGTCTTTGTGGCTTTAGTTCTTGTCCTTAAGGACTTGACAGAGCTCTGGTTCAAACCCTCTCTGTTCCAGGGAATACCCTTCCCTTTGTTCCCTAAATATTTTTACACCACCTTGTACAGTATTTGGGCTCAGAACAGGTCCTGATAGTGTCTCCTGGCCACTAAGGGAGTGTTTCTTAATCTCTGGCCTCCTGTTACTTGTGAAAAGACCAGTGTGTTTCAGCAGTGGATGGATGGGGGTGCAGCTTCCCTACAGCCTTTCCCATCCAGCACGTCCTGCTGCAGGGTGTGGGGACTGTCAGCCACTTCTGGCTGGTGTCAGGGGAGCTTTGCTTTGAGAGCACTGCTGGATTTTCTTGGAAAGCACTGCTGGATTTCCTTGGAAAGCACTGCTGGATCTCTGTGTCCCCCCTGGCAGCCGTTCCCCGAGCTGCCGCGCATCCCCGGGCTGGTGCTGGACGGGAGCTCCTTCTCCGACTGCCTCATGGTGCTGCAGTTCCTGCGCAACTTCGGCAAGGTCCTGGGCTTCGACGTGAGCGTGGACGTGCCCTCCCTGAGCGTGCTGCAGGAGGGTCTGCTCAACCTGGGGGACAGCATGGGGGAAGTTCAGGACCTGCTTGTCAAGCTTGTCTCTGCCGCGGTGTGCGACCCAGGCCTCGTTACAGGGTACAAGGTAAAGAGGAAGGAGGGAGAAGCAATCCGTAGTGTGGATTCACACATCCCTCTGGGTGTGTGAATTCATTCTTCACAGGCCAATCTGACACCCCTGGTTTGGGTTGCCTTTCTTGTTCCTAATTCTTTTCTTTGGTGTCACTGTTCTCGTGTTACTCCAAGGCTTTCTGTCCCTGTCAGCCTTCTCATTTGCCAGAAGTGATATATCTCTGGGCATTTTCTCTAGACCACCACATCCCATTTTAGAGGGGGCACTGTCACATCTGTGCCCATGTCTTTTAACTCCTTTCCCCTTATCCCTTCTCATTCCTGCCCTCATGTTATATTCTCAGTGAATCTTGCCATTTTTTTCTCCAGTGTCTGCTCTCTGTCACTTCATCAAAACTTCATTCATTATTCTCTTTCTTACTATCCCTCTTTTTCAAGCCAATACAGCTCTCTTCCACTTTAGAACTCTACATAGCACCATTGTACAAACCGTATTCATCATTTGCCAGTTGGACATTGTAATTTTTCATTTAATCTAGTTAATTATTGTTTATATTAACCCTGTTCTTAAAAACTTAGAGGTGAAGACATTCTAATTTGTTACTCTATTTAAGACTTACCTTGGAATAATTTTAGAGAATAATAATATTTAAGGGGCATATGTAAAATGCAAACAAACCCACCCCTTTCTTCTGTAAATAATAGTGTAGCCTGCAAAGGAAAATAATACTTCTAAAAGTGATTGTTTGAAATGTCTTTTTATTTTTAGGCTAAAACTATTCTTGGGGAACACTTACTGAATGTTGGTGTCAACCGAGATAACGTGTCTGAGATCCTGCAGATATTCATGGAGGCTCACTGTGGGCAAACAGAGCTGACAGAGAGCCTGAAGACAAAAGCTTTCCAGGCACATACTCCAGCTCAGAAAGCATCAGTGCTTGCCTTCCTGGTCAATGAGTTAGCATGCAGCAAGAGTGTAGTAAGGTAAGAGTTGTCCCAAACAGGTGTGTAAAAATATTGTTATATAAATTCCCTAGTTTAGAAATCCTGTGCATACATTGTGTTCTGCAGCAGGAGGATTGTTCATTCATTATCTTATGTGAAAGCTGAAATTGGTTGTGTTACTTCTTCTTACCTTTACGTACTTGTGGTATGATGAAAGAATAGAACTTTTCCATGTTTGGTCTGCAATTTTGTTTTCAAAGTTTGCACCAAAGTTTCTCCAGCTGTTTTTGGAGTAAAAGATAAGGTTGATTACAAAGAAATTTGCTAGGCTATTAGGGAATAATTTAAAAGAGTAGTTCAGGGCTTCTGCAGGACTCAGTTTTCCCATTTTTCCTTTTGTTTTTTTATGACCTCCATTGTCCAGATCCTTTAACTAGGGTCATAGGGTGAGTGTTTTCCCATTTTTCCTTTTGTTTTTTTTTGACCTCCATTGTCCAAATCCTTTAACTAGGTCATAGGGTGAGGTGGGCAAGTGTATACTGCATTGGTGTCATTAGTGTATAGCATTTCATAGTGTTGAACCCCACTGTGTTCCACAACCTGTCCCAGCCCAACAATATGCAATGAAAAGTTAGGGGATGCCAGTCTGGGATGTCTGTACTTCAGACTCACTCTGGTAAAGTCTTGGATCACCTCGTTGTGTGCTGTTTTGTTTCCTGGTGAATGCTGCTGGGTTTGGGGTCTGTGCTGCAGTCAGGGTTGTGTGAGGCTAGAATGGAAGAGATGCTTCAGTTTTCTCGAAGCAAAAAAATGGCAGAGGTGGCAGTGCAGGTGCTGCCAGGTACTGTGCTGTGCAAGTTGGTGAGTATCAATCAAGTTCTAAAAAACTCTGTCCAACTGTTAAGTCCTGTTCACAGAAATGGTCACTCAGAACTTGAGTTTCCATACTTTCATGGCAGAAACAACCCTAATCTGCTGAATTGTTGAGTCAGACATCTCAGGAGCTGTCCTGTACCATAGCCCTGGTTTTGGTTCTGTGGTTGCTGCAGTGAAAGTGAATGTTGGTCTGTAGGTCCCAGGGATCCTAGGCAGAACATCTGAGATGTGCCAGTGGTAGCTGCTCTTTCAGCACAGGGCAAGGTGCTTTGTGACACAGACATCTGGAGGCCTGGCACTGAATTAGAGCTGGGGGAAGAAATGCCAGGTCTGTGAATGCCACGCTGCTTTTGGTGATACTGTAGATACATCGTCCTCCTGTTGGAACTTCCTAGCTTTAGAGTTGTTTGTTTGCAGTGTTTACCTCTTCTCCAAGACAGTTCTTTGAGGCAAAGTATCTATACATAAATGTCTGTCAGAAAAGGTGATGTAAGTTCACAGTTAACGTTTATTTTGTCTTTGACAGTGAAATTGATAAAAACATCGATTACATGTCAAACTTAAGGAGAGATAAATGGATGGTTGAAGGCAAACTTCGGAAGTAAGTTTTGTTTTGTTAAATACTACCATGTGTTGCTTTTGTGCCTTTGTTCAGATATACTGCTATGTAGGGAATTGGTTCTCAGGACAAAATTAGCTGATGCAGTTACAGCTTTACCAAGAAATTAGCAACCAAACTGCTTAATTAAGATGGAGGTGGATTCCGAGTGCTGCGGCACCACTCTCTTCAGTTTATCGAAGAAAGATGAGTGAGATTTGGAGGGTTAGTGTCCCTCAAAATTGGAGCAAAGTCAAGTCTGTTTTGTGTTCTTTGGAGGAAAGTGAAAATTTTTGAATTGGAATGTTACAGGAGCTGTAAAATTGCTATGGCCATTGTCAGAGTGTATTTGGACCGACCATAGTTGCCAGTGTTTGCTCTGAAAGGTTTGAAGAGAACGTGGTTTTCATAGAGAATTGCTGACTGAATTTTGCTGATTCATGTGACCACAGTGTTTCCCATCTGTCAGTGTTGCCTTGTGCGCTGTAGCTAGGGACCATGTGGAGAGTGCCAACTTGGAGAGACTTTCTGTATTGCATTGAAGGTAAAATTGGAACCTCGTAAGGGTTGTCAGATTCATATTCACTGTTCTCCCATCCTACAAGACAAAATTCCATACAGCAAGCATACTGGCTCCAAGCAGCAGGAAGCTCGATGGCGTGAACGAGTGACTCACAGGGGGTAAAATGCATAGCCAGACTCTACCTTTTTTTTCCTTTGTCATCTTTACCTCTTGCTAGGAATGGTAAATCCTTTCTTAGTCCTGCTGTAGGTGCTTTTGTTTCTAATATTATGTCTCCCTTTTTTCCCTTTAACATATCTCAGAAGGAAGAAGGAAAGAAGTGAAGAAGGAGGACAAGAGGGAGGTAGAGGAAAAAATTAGACCAATAAAAAAAAGAAATTTCCTACTATAGCTGCAGATCCCAGTCTGCACAGGGTTAATGCATTTTATCTTTTAGGATAACTCAGATACCTTTTTCTTGTCTCCATCTGTATCCCCTCTGAGGGACGTAGTTTAAAAAGTGCTTTTGAAGTTCTGATGTAGCCAACTTCCCATTGGTGGAATGGGACCCTGCCCTGTCCTTCCCTTCTTAGGGCCTGCTTAGTCTTTCTCTCCCTCCATCAAACTGTAAGTACTTGTAGATGTAGGACTTTCCCTTTGCCTTATAATCTCTCATTTCTTCCCTTTCAAATAGTGAGCATACACCCTGAAGTCCCAAGCTCTCTTCCTTCCCAGTCCTTTCTCTCTTTCTTGCCTCTCTCCCCTCCTGTGTGGATTTCAGGTTCCAGTAGTGCTGTCCCTATTTTCAAGTGTAAGTACCATGGGAGAGCTCAGGAACATAGGTCTTTGCTTCTCTGAGTTCACTGGGCTTGATTCATCTCTCATCTTTGGTTCCAAATCTTTGGATTTTCCACTGGTTTTCTGATGAACGCTAGGAAGTCTTTTAGAAAAGCTGCACTGATCAATTTTAAACAAGGCTTTCTTCTTAATTGTGTCAGTTGGTGTTTGTCATAAACTGTTCTGCGGCTTCCCTGACATGAAATCTATAAATTTCAGCCTTCTTTTTGGTCATTTTTTCTGCTTCCAGCCTGCATTCTTGCCTGGGCACTCCTGGTTTGCTGTGTGAGCAGCAGGTGTGGCTCTCTCCGCGTGCCTCGGACCCATCGTGTGGGGTGTGGGTGGTGGGTGGCTGAGGGATGCTGAGGAGTGGGTTTGTTTGAGCTCAGCCTGGCTTGCTGTGGTGAATTTTCATACCACTGTGCCCAGGCTGTCTGGAACTGGATCCAGGAGGGATGAGAAGATACTCTACCTGCATCAGATGCTTTCACTGAGTGATTTTTTTGTGCTTCTGTTCTCACTTTTTATCAGATAAGCTTCACAACTGTAAGATACAAAACAACACAAAAAACCAACATTAAACTCCCAGGCTGGAAAAAGGAATTACTGCATTTCATTTTAAGGGGTGCTTTCTTGGTTTTGCCTTTCTGTCCCTGCCCTCTCCCCTGAGGATCTTGCTAAGTGTAGTGTGTGTGGTTGCAAATTGAGTTCTGAGCTGCCTGAGCTGTTCCTGTGTAGCTGATGGTCAGTGAGAGGTTCCATCTACTTCCTTCTCTATCACATTTAGTTGTGAATCTTGATACTGATCATGGTTTTTGTAAAGGCACCTGTCTCAGACAGTCAGTTCTTCATTCCCAGTGCTTTGTGTGGCAGCTCTGGCCAGCAGACTGTCTCACCTGGTGATTCTGTGATTCTGTTAATGAGATAATCAAAGTCTCAGCATCTCCTTTTCCATTGCATGTCTTTTCCTGGGCCTCTCTTCTGTAGTTTGATCAATATAAAATAGAACAGAAATGAAATATAGCCACTTGAAGGATTAGGTACTAACTGTTTTTTAGCAAGGCTTACAATATTGCAGAACAAGTGTTTCACTGCAGCAGAGCTCCTTTTAATGTGCCAGCAGTATGGCATGCTGTGTGAGAGGTAATCCTGTCTAGTGAAACCATCTCAAACACCAGTGATGATGGTATGTGAAGAGCAGCATCACAGAGAGGAGAAATTACACCCCAGCTTTGGGCAGGGGCTGGTAAGGATGGCTGTAAAACCTTGGCTTTCTGAGGCCCAAGGTCAAGTGTGTGAAAAGTATGTGAAAAGTGTCAACCTTGGCTTTCTGAGGCCCAAGGTCATGTGTGTGAAAAGTACGTGAAAAGTGTTATCAGAATTTCTTTGCCTTGGTACTACCTAATACTTGTGTGCAACAATTACAAGAAAGGCCTGAAAATGAAGTCAGAAGGTGAGTTTTCATTCTCTGAAGTAGTAAACATGATAGGTAGAGCAGGCTGAAGTGGCACATCTGGGTCTCTGCTGGGCCACCCACTCTTTTTATAGGCCAGTGGACTGCAATTCTCTCAGCAGATGTGGCTTTAGTCCTTACCTGGAAGTGAGAGATGGAAGAGTTTTCTGAGTGAAGGTTTTCTTCTCTCAGTGAGCTGTGTCCAGGTGGCAGCAGGAGAATGATGCTGCCTCTTGAAGTAACTGAACATTTTGTGAGTGCTGCTGTCACTGGTTTTTGCCTCTACACTGCTTTGGATACTGCTGCCTTCTTATGCCTGTGGTGCAATCAAGAGAGCTTCACTTCAATTTGCTGTTGGTGCTTAACAGCATTACATCTCTATTTTTGCATTTTCAGCAAAAATAGCCTTTTTTGCTTCCTCATTTCTCTCAGGTATATGAAAGAGGTATTTGCTGGTCTTTGACCTTCCTCTTGCCACGTTTATTACTGAATCATCTTCAGAATTACCTTAGTCAATTCATCTCTAAATCTCCCAGTCGTGCAACAGTCAGTGCAGCCACTGACAGTGACTTCGGTAGCTAATTCCTGCATACAGGCAGGAATTTCTTGTCCAGATGAAGAGGATTTGGTGGCTTGAAGTTATCCTTGTAAAAAGGAATTTTTTTCCTAAAGACCTTGATTCTGTAGCCTGAGCAGAATTGATGCTCTGTGAGACCAATGCTTTTGGCACCAAACCTGAAAAAGTTACTGAGAGGCTTGAGAAAGTCTTTTTATAATCAAAAGATACCTGAAATCACTAAAATAGATGAACTTCCATTTGTTTTGGAAAAAGAGAGGTATGAAGCTTTCTAAATTCTCCGGTGGATTAACCACTGCAGAAAAACCAAACCCAAAGCAACGGCGACACCAAAGCCACCCCAAAGCCCAAAGCCCAGCTGTGTTCGAGCAGACACGAGGCTCTTGATGAGTTCTTGCCTGTCAGCCTTGCTCTGAACAAGTGCTGCTCCCAGAGGAGCAGTGGCACCTCCACTTCGGCCTGTGCTGCTGTGTCCTACAGCCCCTGGGCAGGCTGATGGTCTGTGTGTGCCCTGGAGCCAGTACAGCACTCGTCCTAGCCACTTGCTGTATGGAATATTGTTCTGTAGGATGGGAAGAGAGAGGAGTGCGACAAGGGAAATTACGTCTGGTAATTGTGTTTGTCGTCCCCGTTCTACTTTTCCCATCCTACCTTCTTCCAGCCATCTCTGACACAATCTTTGTCTTTCCTACACGTTTATGAATCTCTTCTGAGTCGGTTGCGTTTCTGGTCTGCGTTGTGACTGGTTCAGCCTGGCTATCCATACCTCCTGTGGGTCAGCATGTTTGCCTGCTAGCTCCCTGATAGGTGGAACTGTAATTTTTGCTGTGTGGAATCTTGTCTTATAGGGGTTTTGTAGAAGAAGAAGGTCTACTACAACCATAATTACTGGTATGTAACTTTCCCTTTTCTTTCATAAAAGGAAAAGTGACAGTTTGAGTAATCTGCTCCTAGTTTAGGTGACTAAGATTGCTCAGGAAAAGAAAGGTATATCCGAGCATAAAAAGTTCAGCCAAAGGGCTAAAGTCAAATAATAACAAAGATTCGTAAAAATCAGAGAAAAAAAGCAAATTAAACCAACTTTGCTGTTGCCATACAAATGTAAATAGTTTCATACTTCCAGCTGAGGATTTTTGCTCTCCTCCTTTCCTCCCACCTCAGACACAGGTATTTTCTCATTGTGTCCTTCAGTGCATTAAAGAACAGATAAAGAAGTTGAAATGGTTCTTTCTTCCAATGGTCTTTCCTGACTTCTCAAAATCCCTCCTGAGATTCATTTCCTCTGCAGTCACACAATGAATTCACCTGGGAGCAGAGGAGAACGGAGTGAGGAGTCGTAGGGGTGTCGCAGCCGCGGTTTTTGCTGCGGGCAGTCAGGGAGAGGACGCGCAGTGTGGCGCGAGCGTAGAGGCTGTGCCAGGAGCCTGAGGCCTGGCACAGTGGGCAGCAGCAGAGCGGGTCCCGTCTCTCCCCCAGGCTGCGCATCATCCACGCCAAGAGGACGGGCAAGAGGGACGCGGCGGCGGGCGGCGAGGAGCCGCAC